AACAAATTCTTAAGGCCATAGTGGTGGTAGAGAGAGACAATAGAACAGAGGATACAATAGAAGACAATAGAACAGAGGTTCTTAAAGGTGTGTGTGTGTGTGTGTGTGTGTGTGTGTGGGTGGGTGGGTGTGATAGACCCCTTTGACAGTTAGGTGAAGCCTCTGGATCCATCTTCAGAATTTATCCTTCAGGTTTTTTTGTTGTTGTGTCCAACTTTTTGTAACCCTATTTGGGGTTTTCTTGGCAAAGACACTGGAGTGGTTTGCCATTTACTTCTCCAACTTATTTTACAGATGAGAAAACTGAGGCAAACAGGGTTAAGTGACCTGTCCAAGGTTTGGACAGTTAGTTAAGTGTCTGAGGCCAGATTTGAACTCAGTGAGATAAATCTTGCTGACTTCAGGCCCAGTACTCTATCCATTGCACTACCTAGCTGCCTTCCCTTCCTTGAATTCTCAGAATAATGCTTATTAAATACATTAAAAACACAAAGGAAAAATTATTTTGGGTATACATACATGTATATACATATATGTGCATATATGCCTGTGTATCTAAACATCTAGATCTACACACATCTACATATACGCACACAAATGCATGTATGTAACACATTTATATAGAGCTTACTATATGTCAGACACTGTGTTAAGTTCTTTACAATTATTATCTCATTTGATTCTTACAACAATCTTGGCAGGTAGGTGCTATTATTATCCCTATTTTACAGTTGAGGAAACTGAGGCAAACAAAGGTTAATTGACTCACCCAGAGTCACACAGCTAGGAACTATCAGAGGCCAGATTTGAGCTCAAGTCATCCTGACCCCAGACCTACTCTGCACTGTACCACTTAGCTGCCAATCTCTCTCTCTCTCTCTCTCTCTCTCTCTCTCTCTCTCTCTCTCTCTCTCTCTCTCTGCCATACACACATAATACCCAAGTATGGATATATGCATGTTTACACATGTATGTATGTATGCATGCATGCGCATATTCAGGGACCTCAGGTTAGGAGCCCCAGCACTAGAGCAGATCCCTTACCTTCTGAGCTGTCCCAAGGTAAGGCAGCAGCTCTACCACTGTCAATCACAAGGAGCTCGGCTTCCTAGTTTCCAGCTTAGGTGCTTCAGCCCCACCTCTGCCTCAGTGGATCACAGCTAGCCCTGCTTTTGCAGGCATCAATCTGTTCCAAAGCTGCCTTGTCATCACTGCCTGTCATACCATTGCTCACCACAGCCATCTGATAAAGCTCAGTTTCATCTTTTGTTTCAGCTCCTACAGATAAATGGTCTTTTAGCTTCAGACCTCCCAGGTTGTCTAAGCTCCATGAGATCAGGGAATATTTCATTCTTTGTATTTGTTTCCTTAGTGCCCTGCCCATGATACGAACTTTATAAATGCTTCTTGATTGATTGACATTCAATACATTCTTTGACCTGTCTTTCACTTGCTTCAGGATCCACTTGGGTGGCATAGAAAACTCCCTTAGGTAGCTGACTTGAAACACTTTGCCTTGCAGGGGTGGGGAACCTGTAGCCTCCAGGTCACATGTGGCCTTCTGGGTCCTCAGGTGTGCCCTTTTGACTGAGTCCAAGTTTTACAGAAGTTTGGATTCAGTCAAAGGGCTACACTTGAGGACCTAGAGGGCCACATGTGGCCTCAAAGCCACCCTGTGTCTATAACATATATGTTCTTCAATCTAACTGACTAACTTTCCCTTACCTCTTTCTCATCTGGGAAGGAGAGGGGCAGCCATCATTCCCTATAGTTTCGTGGGGCCGTGGCTAAATATATACGTTTCCTTTATCTGTCCTTTCCATTTCCATCATGCTATGCAAAATTGTCTTGCAGCTATGAGAAGGATGCTTGGTGAAGAAAATGTCACGGGAAGAAAAATAATGTCTGTCATGAGCAAACTTGCCAGGGGCTTCAGGCAAAATGCCGGAGTGAAAATGCAAGATTCACCTTGTGCTATCATTGTGACAGTCTGTCTATAAACTTGGACCTTGCTGTCAGCACCCTGGGGGCTGGTTCTGAGATCTTGGGCACCTCTTAAAGAGGAAAGCTAATATCAGAATAAGGGAAGGACAGAGTCAGTCTTCTTTCAGTATTTTTCCCATCCCAGTAAAGCCCTTGTCTCTTTAGTGTCAATTTATATAAATCATCAGTTATTAAAGAGTTGGGTATAAAGGTACTTAAAATTCTAATGTTAGGAACCCATTCACTACTCACTGAAGATCAATCAGAGTCCCATTCAACATGACCCTGCTGCCAGGACACAGATACATGATGGCTGAAGCCCTGACCAAGAAAAAGGATCACCAGGACTATGAGAAGCCTTCCTGCTTCCTGAATATGAGTTGGATGGAAGCACAGCTGCTCTCGTGGAAATACTTGGACTATGGGAAGACGCTGCTATGGCCTGGAGGCTTCTGGAGGCTTTTCTATCACCATCTTCTATATGTTAAATGGGGTGGAGGTGGTGAAACATGACATCAATGTGGAGCCATTCTTGGGCTTGTCTCTCCATGACATAGTGAACTATTTTTTCTCCAATGTCAAGAAGACCTTGATCTCCATCCTCCTAGAGGAGAACTAGGAGAAGGTCTTAGGGTTTGTGGAAGCCAGCCAGTAGAATGGAGAAAGCCCATGGACAGTCCCCAAGCCTCCAGCCAGGAGAGGTTGAGCAAATCTAGCTCCTGGACCAGGCAAGCCCTGCCTTGGTTGCTCATACTTCTGCCACTTGTGCCTGCTCGGGATGATTATGCCCATCTGTGATGAGCCCACAACCCAATGTACAGATGAATATGTAATGTCCCCAAGCCTCTTGGCTGACCCCAAATGCAAGAGATAAGGGGAAGTCACTGCTCAAAGTGCCACCCATGCCTACCAAGCCTAAGAATATCAGCTCCAAGAAAATTGCCCCAGGGTCTTTCAAGCCCAAGGTTTTCTCATCATGTCTATCTCCACAGATATTATGGAGGAGCTGAAAAGGAAGCTGTGGCAGAGGAGGGCCAACCTAGAGATGGATTTGAAGACAAGGCCTTAGGACCCTGCCCCCAAGGGATGTTGCCTACCACCCCTCTTCCTCTTTTTATTCCCTCTAACTTTAGTCCTTTAGCAGGCGGGGCATATATTGGGTCTGCACTCCCTTAAAGATACTTTAACCCCACCCCCACCCCATTAGATATTAAAGTTAAAGGAACATGGAAAAAAGATCAATCGGAAATGAAGCTAAAGTATCTTTGAAAGTGTGATTGTAGAAAGTTGGAACTGGAAGGAACCTCATAGATCCGCTGATCCAACAGCCTCATTTCAGAGCTCAATAAATCTTGGTTGATGAAAATATAGTGAGTGAAAAAATAGGCCTTGAGAAGTGAGATGACTTGTCCAGGGCAATACAACAGCAAGAACTGAACCTAAATATTCTGACTTCAGGTCCACTTCACCTATGCACTGAAATAGAGATAGGGACAGTTTGTCATTATACTGTATATAGAAAGATAGATGACTTGGGAAAATAGAATTTGGTTGACAAAATATCAACGTATAACCAGCTTTTCAGGAACACATCTACTGTGTAAAAAAAGAGATTCATGTAGGGATTTTCCTTTCTCCCTTTCACCTTTTACTCTTTAAAAAAATTATTCATTTATTCAACAAGCATTTATTAAGCACCTATTCTATGGGCAGGCATTGTGCTAGAGGTACAAAACCAAACTGAAACAGTTCTTGCCTTCAAGGAGTTTACATTCTATTGGAGTTTATGGTCTAGTTTTCAATTAATTAGAGCAGGAAAATTAGGAAGTAAGAAATGTCTGTCCTTTTAAATGATGTGATTGCAAACTATGATTTAGTTATTCTTTTTCAATGGACATAACTTTATTTTCTCTCTCTCTCCCACCTTCCCACTCTCATTGAAAAAAAAAAAGGAAAAAGAAAACCCTTATAACAAATATGCATGGCAAGCAAAAATAAACTTTCATATTGGTCATATCCACAAACATATGCCATTCTTCCTCTTGAATCCATCCTCTCTCAGTTAGGAGGTAGATACCAAACTTTATCAACAATCCTCTGTAACCACAGATGGACATTGCATTCTACCAATATATTTCCAATATATTTTTAGCTAAAAAAAAGAAGACTCTCATTTAGCATAACAAAGAACACAGAAGCTTAAAATTTACATATACATTTTTATAAAGACCCTAACATCTGTTTCAATATTCCCTAGGTAGCTCAAAAGAAGTCACAAAATCATCCTCATCCTTGTGTTCTCCCCCAAATTTCAATGACAATGTGTTTGGGGTTGGCTTGGCACAAGATCAGTCCCATCAGCTCAGGTTATTAGCTTGTCCCTCTGGGAGTACCGAGGTGCCTTATTGGTGACTTCTGCAGTATATTACATAATGTAATATTATATATAAAACATATACACACATACACATATATAGATGTATAATTCATATTATATTTAAATATATCAATTCATCTACTTCCATGATTTCAGTCTCTCCCATCACCAATTAATGCTTCCTATAGTTGATAAATTAATATTTCTTTTTTAATAGTATTTTTTCAATTACATATAAAGACAATTTTTAATACTCATTAAAAAAATTTTTTTGAGTTCCAAATTTTTGTCCTTCCCTCTCTCCCCTCCTCTCCTCCTAAAAGCAACACAAATTAATATTTCTGAAGCACGTTCAGCCACATGACACTCCTGCTCAAGAAGCTTCAGGGGTCCCCTATTGCCTCTTCTGTTTGACATTAGAAAGTCATTTACCAATGTGGCTCCAGACTTCTCTTTCAGATAGGTTTCATGTTTTTCCTCCTCATATATTCTCTAGTTTAGTCAGACTGGCCAACTTGCAGTTTTCATATATGACATTCCACTACTTTTCTCCATCTTATTTTTTTCTCCATGCCTAGAATTCACTCATCTTCACCCCTGCCTTAGCTTCCTGCAAGGCTCAGCCGAAGTTTCCACAAAGGAAGAAAAGAAAGCACCAGGAAAGACCCTTTTGTGGGAGAGCAGTTTGGACCAGGAAGGGGGGTGACTGGTGTTTCTGCCCGGCTTTTCCTTTTGGTATGTTTTCCCTTGCCTGCGTTATGCATGACATACTGTGCTGGAGATCTTAGGAACAGAAAATGCCAAAGGATTTGAGTGATGATGTCTCTGTGTCACAAGGTCAGTGACAGCTCTGCCCTTGACAATGCCTTCTATTATTAGAAAGGGAGGTGTGAAGTGGAGAGATCTGAAATGAAGGTAAACTATCTCTCCAATTCCCTTATTCTCTTGGGTGTGCCTGTATCAGAGGTTATGGGGACTATGACAATCAGAGGTCACAAAAGTCCTTGGCATTGTCAAATGATACATCAGAAACCGGAATGATTTTATAGTGGAAAAGACACTAAAGGAGACATATTACCATTTACTTTGCCAATGTGCCCAAAGGACCACAGGGCCTTTCCATGTTATTTGCTGCTGAAATCACTTGTAGGTGTTGTTTCTCTCTATTAGAAAGTTAACTTCTGGAGAACAGGATTGTCTTGCTTTTTCTATTTGTTTTCCCATCACTTAACACAGTGCTCAGCATATAGTAAGTGCTTAATAAATAGTTATTCATTCATTCTCCTGCATTACATAAGAATATTCTAATTAATATTGTTACCACCCATATTTTCCCCTTTCTAATCCATTCTGTACACAGTAGCATTTTTATTGTATCACTTTGTTTAAAAAAGAAAAAGAAAAGAAAACAAATCTTAAAAGGGCTCCCTGTTGTCCACAACATAAAGTCTAAATTGCAATGGGCAAAGGAATGAATCAGGGGTATGAGAGGGGAGGCATTCAATACATCAAGTTTTAAAAGTTTAGCAATGACAAAAAGGCAAATATAGTGGTAGATTGAGGGGCATCATGTTTAAGAAAAGGTACTTTATTTTAAGTTTTTAGATTTATTTTAAAATTGTATGTAAAATAAGAAAAGAAAAAAATTGCCATGTACACAGCAGAATATGAGAGGATTCAAAATAAAGCAATAAATTTCTATTTCAAGAAAAGCTATATAATGAATACTATACATTAATTCCAAAGCTATTCATCTTTTCTTTGCTTCTTTTTATGTTTTCTTTTGTCCTCTGCTGGCACTTTTAATTTTATTTTTCTCCCTTCCTCCCCACCTCAGAAGGCTATAATTAAGCATGGATACACACACACACACACACACACACATATACAGACACATACATAGATATCCACAAACATACACATACACGCTCAAATGTATATATTTAAGTCTGTACTATGCTTATTTCCACTTGTCATCTGTTTCTCTGTAGGTGGATAGCATCGTCTCTCATAGGTCCCAATCTTTCTGTATTTTTCTAAATCTGTCAGCTTACCATTTCTTACACCACAGTAATGTTCTGACCCAATCACATTCTATCTGGGAGACTATGAGAGTTGTCCCCCCCCCCACTCCGTTTTCTGCCATGCAAGAAAAGGTATTTTGAAACCAGTTTCTAGAGGGGACTTGAGGATGTTTCTAGGTAGAAGACAACTTAGTATGGTAGAAAAAAGTGCTAGACTTGCTCTCCTAAGATTTTGATCTGAGTCCTGTGTCTCCCACTTACCATGCAATTTTGAGCAAACCCCATTGTGTCCTTGGGCCTTATTTTCATTATTTGTAAAATGAGTGGTTTAGAACGGATGAACCATAGCATCCTTTCAGTTTCTAAAATTTTTATAATTTAAAAAATATGTATGTATATATACTTCATTTTAACATTTATCTTTCATTATTTTGAATTCCAAATTCTCTCCCTTCCACAACCCCTCCCCCACCCATTGAGATGGCAAGCAGTAAGATACCCATTATACATGTGAAGTCATGCAAAACATATTTCCATATTAGCCATGTTGCAAATCATGGACCCATTTTGACTTTATCTTGATATATAGTGTAAGATGTTGGTATATGCCTAGTTTGCTCCTATTGTCCAGTTTTCCCAGCAATTTTAGTAAAATAGTGAGATTTTGTCCCCAAAGCTTGAATCTTTGGGTTTTTCAACACTGGATTACTATGGTTATTTACTACTATATGTTATGTACCTAATCTATTCTATTTACTCACTACTCTGTTTCTGAATCTGTACGAGATTGTTTTGATGATTACTGCTGCTTTGTAATATAGTTTGAAATCTGGTACTGCTAGACCATCTTCCTTCATATTTTTTCCATTGATTCTCTTGATATCTTTGACCCTTTGTTTTTCCAAATGAATTTTGTTCTTACTTTTCCTAGCTCTATAAAACAATTCTTTGTTAGTTTGATTGGTATGGCAATAAGCAAATTAATTTAAGTAGAATTGTCATTTTTATTATATTGGTTCAGCCTATTCATTAGCAATGAATATTGCTCCAATTGTGTGAAAAGTGTTTTGTAATTGTAGTTCTTAGGTTTGTCTTAGCAGATAGACTCCCAAGTATTTTATATTGTCTGCAGTTCATTTAAATGGAATTCCTCTTTCTTTCTCTTCCTGCTGGGCTTTATTGGTAATATATAGAAATGCTGATGATTTATGTGGATTTATTTTATATTTTGCAACTTCACTAAAGTTGTTCATTGTTTCATCTAGTTTTTTAGTTTATTCTTTAAGGTTCTCTAAGTATACCATCGTATCATCTGCAAAGAGTAATAGTTTTGCTTCCTCATTGCCTATTTTTATTTCTTCAATTTCTTTCTTATCTTATTGTTATAGTTAGCATTTCTAGCATAATATTTTAAACAGCATTTTATTTTTTCCAATTACATGTAAGGACAGTTTTTACATGCATTTAAAAAATTTTGAGTTGTAAATTTTCTCCCCCCTTCCGTCTCCTGCCCTTCCCTAAATAGTGAGCATTTGATAAAGGTTATATATGTGCAGTTATGTAAAACATATTTCCATATTAGTCATGTTGTGAAAGAAGAAACACACCAAAGGGAAAAAACATGAAAAAAAAATAAAGAAAGTGAAAATAGTATGCTTTGATCTACATTCAGACTCCATCAATTCTTATTCTGGATGTGGATAGCATTTTCCATCTTGAGTCCTTTGGAATGGTCTTAGATCATTTTACTGATTAGATTAGCTTAGTCTTTCAGAACTGATCATTGCACAATGTTGCTGTTACTGCATACAATATTCTCCTGGTTCCACCCACTTCACTTTGCATTAATTCATGTAAGTCTTTCCAGGTTTTTCTGAAATCCTCCTGCTCATCATTTCTTATAGCACAATAGTATTCCAATACAATTATACAAACAAAATCAATGCAATCAAGATTAGGAGGAAAGCAGAAAGCTGGGAAACAATTTTTCCAGCATCTCTGATAAAGGCCTCATTTCTCAAATATATAGAGAATTGTGTCAAATTTATAAGATTACAAATCATTCCCCAATTGATAAATGGTCAAAGGATATGAATAGGTAGTTTTCAGATGAAGTTATACATAGTTATATGGAAAAAAATGCCCTAAATCACTATTGATTGAAGAAGTACAAATTAAAACAACTCTGAGATACCACCTCACACTTATCAGATTGGCTAATATAAGAGGGAAAAGAATGATAAATGGAGAGGATGTGGGAAAATTGGGACATCAATGCACTGTTGGTGGAGTTGTGAACTGATCCAACCATTCTGGAAAGAAATTTGGAACTATGTCCTAAGGGCAATCAAATTGTGCATATGTTTTGATCCAGCAATACCACTATTTGGTCTGTATCCCAAAAAGATGGTAAAAAAAGGAAAGGACCTAAATGTACAAAAATACTTATAGTAGCTCTTTTTGTGGTGGAAATTGAATGGAATTTGAGGTGATGCCCATCAGTTGGGGAATGGATGAACAAGTTGTGGTATATGAATGTAATTTGCTTTATAAATTTGGCTCAGTTTTGTATATATTTGAGAAATGAGGCCTTTGTCAGAGACCCCTGCTGTAAAAATTGTTTCCAAGTTTTCTGCTTTCCTCCTAATCTTTTTTGCATGGTTTTATTTGTGTAAAAACTTTTTAAATTAGTATAATCAAAATTACCCATTTTATATCTTGTAATACTGTCTCTTGTTTGGTCAAAAATGCTTTCCTTTTCCATAGAACTGACAGATAAACTATTTCCTGCTTTCCTAATTTGCTTATGGTATCATGCTTTATGTTTAAATCATTTACCTATTTTCACCTTATCTTGGTATATGATATAAGATATTGGTCTATACCTAGTTTCTGCCATATTGTTTTTTAGTTTTCCCAGAAGTTTTTGTCAAATACTGAGTTCTTATCCCAGAAGCTGGGATCTTTGGGTTTATCAAGCAATTTCCAATATAAATACTGAATAGGCAATGGACATCCTTGCTTCACCCCTGATCTTATGGGGCAGGCTCCAAGTTTATCCCTTTTGCAGATAACATTTGTTCTTAGTTTTAGATAGATACTACTTTTCATTTTAAGAAAGGTTCCATTAATTCTTATGCTTTCTTGTATTTTCAATAGAAGTAGTTACTGTATTTTGTCAAAAGCTTTTTTTCTGTACTTTTTGATAGAATCATATTATTTTTCTTGTTTTTGTTATTGATATGGTCAATTAGGCATATAGTTTTCTTAATATTAAGCCAGTTCTACATTCCTGGTATAAATTCCATGAGGTCATAGTCTATGATCTTTGTGATATATTGCTATAATCTCATTACAAGTATTTTATTTAAAAATATTGCATCAATATTCATTAGGAAATTGGTTTATAGCTTTCTTTCTCTGTTTTTACTCTCCCTGGTTTAGGTATCAAAATGTACTTCATCGTAAAAGGAATTTGGTAGGACTCCTTTATCTATTTTTTTTTGAAATGTTTATGTAGTATTGGAATTAATTGTTCTGGAGATGTTTGGTAGAATTCACTTGTAAATCCATCTGGTACTAGGGATTTTTTTCTTAGGGAGCTCATTTACAGATTCTTCTTGTTCTTCTTGTTCTTCTTCTTGTTCTTCTTCTTGTTCTTCTTGTTCTTGTTCTTGTTCTTGTTCTTCTTCTTCTTCTCTTCTTCTTCTT